TGGTAAGCACGTTTGTTTCGCGAGCGAGAGCACCCTGGTTTGATTTCTGGGTGGGGCGAAACCTTAGGCAAGTTTCCTTAGGAACCCGGTTGTTAGTCAATTGGCAGATCATCTGTTTGTGGGACAATGCTGTGAGCAATTGGCTGCAGCGTTTCGCTCATGAAATACATATTCAATGCAGTTTACAGTATATTCTGTGAAGCGCTTTGAGACATCTCAACGACACGATAAGACGCTATATCAAATGCAAGGATTATTATTATTATGCTATTCTTTTACCACAATTAAAACACTCTCCTGTTATAAATCTCAGTCACCCAGAACCCAAGACAAAGATCTGTAACTATTCTGCAAGCCACCCAAATTCAAGGAAATACTCCATCCTCAAGTCCACAGTGTCCAAATCCTTTTCCTCCACATTATTCCAGTGCCAACAACCCATTGTGTCCCTTACAGGTTTCAAATTGTTTAATCATTCATTACACAGTAGCTGTTTATTAGCTTTAACAAACAGGGACTTGTAATATTTGCATAAGCTTTGTTTTTGTTTAACAATTCAGCCTGTTTAAAATTCAATATGTTTCTCCTGATTAATTTGTTGGGTGCTTTTTTTAAAAAATACATCCACTGCGGCATCGCATCTGTGTATGGAAAAAGTATTAGTTTACATGTTTGGCCTGCCTCAGGTAATTGATGAATATGTGTGCTTTGTGTTTTGCCTGATCACAAATTAATGAAGGCGTGTGCATTTTGTTCAGTCTGGATCAGGCTGTGGGCAGGAGACAGTGAGCACCAATTGTGCTTTCCGCTGGTGCAGCAGCATTCATGGAGCATCTTGGGAATTGTTTATGCATAGAGCATCATGTCATGTGATGCTGAATTTTCTGTACAGTTCAATAGCCAGCCATTTTGGTCTACACCCGGACTGCGCAGAGCTCATCCTGTTAGTATGGTGCAGGCTGATAAAGGGATAGAAAGAGCTGCATTTTGAGGAGCTACTGAGAACCTCTCTGTATTTGGGACAACGTAACAGCGAAGAGATTGCTTTGCTGAAGCACCAAACTAGGTCAACCTTACAAATTTAAAGTGGTACCAAAGGTTGAACTGCCTTGTTGCCCAGACCAACTGTGGTGGAGAGAGAGAGAGAAAGAGAATTGCTGTGTCACTGCTGAATATCCTGCGTACAGTAGTAGCTCACTTTAAGGCTGCTGTGCTCTGATTTTCTGCAGCAGCCGTACAGCATCCTCTTTGTTGTATTGTAATCTGTTCTGCAGCACGTCCCTTACAGTAATATTAGCAGCTGAGTCATCATGTCTGACCTGACGCCTCAAAGCGATGTCCCAACCCCTACCACAGACAAGATTACACAGGCCGCCAGGGAGACCATTTACCTGTGCAACTTTCGTGTTTCAGTCGATGGAGAATGGCTCTGCTTGAGGGAACTGAACGATATCTCTCTCACGCCTGACCCAGAGCCAACCCACGAAGGTATGAGTTTCTGTCGGGAGACACACTGCTTTTTTAAATACAGTATTCCTAGTTAAGCATGCCACCGTGAGACAGTGATTGAATCCTGAGCACCATTGAGATTTATTTGTGTGTGTGTCAGAATGATTGCTGTCACCAACTGCTGTAGGTGTATTGTGTTTCAGTGCATATAGCATCAAAAAAAACCTGCAGTAAAAAAAATCACTATGTGACATGCTTCTTGGAAGTTTCTCTTCAAATATAAAGCTTCAAATGTATAAATCAAATGTAAAGTTTCTGAACCTCAGCTCTATTTTGTTTGAAAAGGCAACCTGACCCACGTCCAGGCCCTTTAAAATATTGTTGAGTAATCCTAAATTATGACTCAAGCTTTTTATAAGATCACAAGCTTTTTGCTTCTATTTTTGCTCATAACATTCAACCTTAAGAAACTGTTTCTTTTTCATAAAGAAAACGCATTAAAATATATTAACTCTTAAAATCTATTTTCCTTTAAACTGCAGCTGTGCAAATTTTGAAATTGATCTAATTTCAAACTGCAAAATATGTTTCATAACACAAAGCGCGCGTTCATCATATATTGTATACTCTGTGTTCTATATAAATCGTTCACAGTGACCACACTGGCCTCTTGTAGCTTGTGTGGATCGAGTTGCAGGTAAATAAAAGATGCTGAAATCTAACTGGATAAAAAAATAAGCTGAGCTGTGCAATGGCAGTGCAACGAGGTCCCTGCTAGCATTGCAAGCTGCCTATCTGTTGTCTACGGCTCTGAATTGCATTAGCACTCCCTGGGGCTATTGATAATACAAAGACAAATTTTCACTGGTGCAGTTTGCAGGTGGATCAGAAGGATGCAGCAGCATTTTTCTTGGTGGGGGGGTGTGGGGGATTGTCAAGCTTCTGTTTTAGTCTAGACATCATTATCAATGCTGCTGTTAACACTTGATTTCCATAATGCAGACTGCATGGTTTCACCAGTTCAAGACGAAAGACCAGAATGTACTCTGTATTCAAGTGGTGAACACTTTACATTCAGGGAACACAGAATGTTTGTTTAATAGAAAGCAAATTTGTAGATTTTTTAACGAATGTACATCAGAAAAAATTGTTCTTCATTTCAAGAATAAAAATCTTGTATCCTGCTGGATGGTTCCAGAAGGCGCTTGCACCAGTTTTAACACAATCATGCGTAATTGAAGAACCTCTGCTATTGACAGTAAATCAGTGCATTAAAGAGTAAGTGACTCAGATCATGTGATAAGGAGTGGAAGAAACGATGGCTTCATTTTCGAGTGTTCACGAGAACATTCTCTCTGGTGATCTTTTACTATTGGCATTTAGGAAGCATCTGTAAATCCAGATTTGTTTTATTCAAGTTACAGTATTTACAAAACATTTGAGTTTTTTCCTTTTCCCTATATTTCTGCAATTATTTTCATCATTCAGAGGATAAATGTCATAGCTTAAGCAAACTCAAATGGATTTGTTTCAGTCAATCTCCCAAAGTTGCAGTTGAAAGAAAGGGCTATATGGAGTATTGTTACTGTAAAATTGGAAGTGATAGGCAAGCAAAAGGATGGAATATTGCCTACTTTTTCAGCCCTGAAGCAACCTTCTCCTAGCTACCCTGATGGCTTACTGAATAAAGGCATCGCCTGGTTCAGCACCAGGCTACACAGACCAAAACACTGCAGGTTTGAATCCAGGTTTGATTTATCCTCATTTAACTGATCTCGACTTGGCAGCAGTGGAGAAGGTACAGTTGGCTCAAATTTCCCTTTCTCTGATGTCCCTTACTCTCCCCAACCCCAGCTTAAATCTGAAATGTTGTACTCTGTCCAGCGCCTTGGGACATCCTCCCGACGTGAAAGGCACTATACAAATGTAATCTTGTTGTTGTTGTTGTTGTCTCCCCCCTTCCCTCCTCCCATCTCACAAACACATACACACACACTCCAATCTCAGGGAATGACAGGGGGAAATCAGCCAGTATTCCTGCTCCTACTCCCAAGACACTTATTGGGAGGTACATGTGAGGGACTATCAGGGTATTATTGGATTGGACTTGGCTCTGATGCATCCTGTGGTTGAATAGAGGTCAAATAGCTTACAAATGCTTGCTGAACAGTGACCTCTTGGGAGAGGTACCAGATGGGATTCATGGAACCATACTGCGAAAATAGAATTAAGGAAAGAGAAGTGGAGGAAATTGTTAGAAAATAATCTTCTTCCTACCCCCCATCCCACCCCACCTTGAAATTCACTTTTACTTTTTCACGTCTTGCATAACTATTCCAATCAAGTTCAATAGCTCGCTCTTAAGACATTCCAGGATGTGGAGTCCTGTAGCTCAGTGGTTAGAGCACTTGCTTTGCAAGTGAGAGACCTGAGTTCAATTCCAGGCAGAGGGCGAAACCTTGGGCAAGTTTCCTTACTCCACACAGAGCCTAATAATAATCCCTCCAAAACAAAAAACAATAATAAATTGGTCATTTTCAATCCATGACTGTTTGTGGGACATTGCTGTGTGCAATTGGCTGCCGCGTTCGCCCACAAATATACAGTCAATTCACTTTACAGTGTGTTCTGTGAAGCGCTTTGGGACGTCCTCTCGACGTGAAAAGCGCTATATCAAATGCAAGGATTATTATTATTATTATTATTATTCCAGTGTCACAGTAATTGTAAGAGTCTAAATCAAGTCAGCCATTTCCCTTCCCAGATGGCTGTGGCTAATATTAGAAATGCACTGTGTGAAGAGTCTTGCTTCTGCACAAGTGTCAACATTATGGTACATGATATCAGTGAAATAACTGCTTCGTTTCTGGACTGCCAAAAACTTGTTGCTTTTAAGTGAGGTGCTGCTACTTAATGTTTAGTCATTGTTATATGATTGCACTCTATTCCTCTAACCCTGATGAAAATTTGCTATTGTGAATGATATGGTAATTATTCCCGAAAGCATGTTGCATGCATTATTGATCTGACTTGAGTTTTGCATACAGTGAGGTCTAACATAATGGGATTCCTCAATGAAGAATTTGAATGGGTCGCTTTCTGGTAACTGGAAATGCTTGACACTGCCCAGCAGGAACTTTTCTCTGAACGTAGATTCCCTACCTCCAGTTTCCTTATTAAAGAATCACATTCTAATTTGGCAATTATTAGAGCCAGTGCCTCCTATTGCAATTGTGGATTTGATACCTAGTGCATGTATTTAGTTAGGTTAAATACGTCTACATTTGTAAAAGGTGAAAGCAAATTTTAACTTTTGTAAGGAAAATCATGTTTGTTGAGTCCTCTATTGCTGCGTGAAACCTTTTATGAGCCCAATGCTGCAATATTACAAACAATTCAAAGTTATAAAAATGCAGTACAGACAATTTACCTGTAATTTAGCAATATTATCTCCCATTTATTTTTCCCTTTTTAAAATTGTTTTGCAGTCATTTTATTTGCATGACATTTTGTCCTTTTTTCCCTTTTATTTTTTGCTGCCCTTTGCAAAGTCTGTTGGGAGGATTTAACAGTGTGGGTGGATCAATTGCAAATGCTTGATGATACTGAAGGTGCGTACAAGGATTGTTTATCAGCTGTTGTGCTTTGCCTGTTCGGTAGGGTTGTACCTAATGTAAGTGTTGTCTGACCTTGTGAGCATAAGAAGCAAACTGCAGCCGCTTGCAAAGAGAGCAAACATGGCCGTTTTGAGTATCTGCTGCACCTTCCACAATGTGTATAATAGGACTTGACTGAAGTCCAACAGGACACTATGTAAAAGCACTGAAAATATTTTGCATGTGAAATAAATGCGCTTTTCTTTCTGCTTTGCTCCCTTTTGGACGGTCATCTTAAGCACACTTCTTATATCTAACTGCAGGATAGCATGTGTGGCTTCTGTATTTTGTGTGTCTCAGTTTATGCCTGAATTTTTTTTACCATTTTCATGCTTTGAAATTTATTATTTATGTTGAACTTTAATGACTTATTTCAGATGTGATGTGGTATGAAATCTGAGTGCTCATTTTGGTAGGAAATATATCTAAATAGAAATGTACATTAATTCCAGTTGTTATGCTGAACATTTTTGCTTTATTTGCAGTTTTTGTTTTGAAGTGTTTGACATTCAACATTGTCAATTTTTTTTCCCCTGCTGACTTCACAGGGTCTTTAAAAAAAGTGATTGTGTATATGCAGAATACATTTTCAAAAGTTTCAAAAACACTACATTTGAAACCTAAATAACAATATCTCTTTCAACTTTTTAAGAGGTGGGCCGAGTGAGTGGTAGAAAGGAAATTTTTACTGATGTTACGTGGAACAGCACTTCCCCCCGTGTTCATCCATTTCTGATCTGCCAACGAAAGGAGTAAAACTGATGGTGTCTGTGATTGTTACAGTGTGAACTGGTCAGTTTTGCTTGATCAGAGAATGGCATTTGGTTTCCATGAGATAACAAAGGAATAGGAAGTATTCTGAGAAAAGAAAATGGGATGGAGAGGCTGGGAAATAACCACACATCCTTTAAGTGACTTCCAAGAGTGCTACGTAATCTGAAGTGTTTGGATACAGAGTGTATTCCATCTTCAACAACCACAAATCGATTGTTTCATGTTTCAGTTGCCAATCGTGCATTGTTTCCATTGGACACGTCTGGCGTCCCCCAGAGTTCTGTCCTTGGCCCTCCCCTTTCTTCCACCTCCGACGCATCGCCCATCTCCGCCAATACCTCTCCCCAAAAGCCGTTGAAACCCTGGTCCATGCCTTTGTCACCTCTCGGCTGGACTACTCTAACGCTCTCCTCACCGGTCTCCCATCCACTACCATCCATAAAATCCAGATCATTCAAAACTCTGCCGCCCGCATTCTTACCCGCACCAAACTCCGCTCCCCGATCACCCCAGTCCTTGCCAGACTGCACTGGCTGCCTGTCCCAGAGAGAATCGATTTCAAGATCCTCACTCTTGTATTCAAATCCCTGCACTCCTCTGCGCCCCCCTACCTCTCTGACCTCCTCTCTCAAAACAGTGCCCGTTGCCTTCGTTCCTCCGGGTCTGGCCGCCTCTGAGTCCTCCGCTCCACCCTCGGCGGCCGTGCCTTCAGCCACTATGCCCCGAAGCTCTGGAACTGCCTTCCTCACTCCCTTCGCCTCGCTCCCTCCCTTCCCATTTTCAGGTCTCTGCTGAAGACCTTTCTTTTTGATGCGCCTTTGGTCACTTTCCTCCCCCTCCCCCTGGCTCGGCCCCAGGATCCGTTTCTGTAAAGCGCTCTGAGACACTGTCCTGTGTGGAGGGCACTATATAAATCCAAGTTGTTGTTGTTGTCCTCTTTAATATCTACATGCTCCCCCTTGGTGACATCATCCACAGACGTGGGGTCAACTTTCATATGTATGCAGATGACACCCAACTCTATCTTTCTACCTCTACTCTCAACTCCAGTACCACTGTCTGTCGGACATCAAGTCCTGGATGAGGGCAAATTTCCTACAGTTGAATGTGAACAAAACTGAGGCCCTCCTGATTGGCTCACACCAGCACCTCAGCACCTCAGCACCTCAGCCTCTGGCAACATCAACCTCCATGGTTGCACACTACAACTCACCAAACCAGTCAGGAACCTAGGGGTCTTGTTCAACCCTCAACTGTCTTTTCACCTTCACATTCAAGCCATGACCCACTCTGCCTTCCCTCACCTCCGTAACATCGCCCGACTCCGCCACTACCTCACCCCTCAGGCCACTGAAACTCTTGTTCATGCCTTCATCACCTCCAGGCTCGACTATGCAAACCCCCTGCTTGTCACCCTTCCCAACTCCTCCCTCCACAGGCTGCAGATAATCCAGAACTCTGCAGCCCGTGTCCTCTCCCGCACCAAACTCCGTGACCCCATCTCTTCCATTCTCGCCCGACTCCATTGGCTCCCTATCCTTCAGAGGATCCAGTTCAAGATCCTGGTCCTCACCTACAAAGCCCTCCATGGCCTCGCCCCACCCTACCTCTGCGACCTCCTAACCCCCTACCAACCCGCCCGCTTCCTCCACTCAGCCGGCTCTGGCCTGCTCCACGTCCCCCGACCCACCCGCCCCACCATTGGCGGGACAGCCTTCAACCTCTGGAACTTCATCCCCCAATCACTCCCCCTCGCCCCCTCCTTAGCCTCCTTCAAGTCCCGCCTCAAGACCCTCCTCTTCGACCATGCCATCGGTCATCCCCCTTCCCCTTCCCTCCCTTCTCCCACCTGACCCCAGCTCAGGTCTGAAATGCTGTACGCTGTCCAGTGCCTTGGGATGTCCTCCCGAAGTGAAAGGCGCAATACAAATGTAATCTTGTTGTTGTTAATGCATTTTTAGAGATACAAACTGGCCACACAGACAACCATTGTGGAGAATGCAAGCCCTGCTCCTTTTGGCACAATGTGTCCACCAGTAATTCACCAGTGTCCACGAATCTGTTGCTCTGAACCATCTACATGTTGATTTCTAAATCCAATCTGCTGAAGATGCTGGTGCTGGACAAATGTATGCCTTGCATTGGGGAGTTATTTGCTATGTCCTGAAATAAGAGATCATTGGTAATGCCCAAAAGTTTCTCCCAAAGCTACTGAATTCAGATTTCATTCTCAATTCATTTCTCCCTCCCCAACATATTCATTTTGCTCTGTGTCCCACTCTGGTGAGTAATCAGTTACCAAAGGAATTTTGCTGCCGTTGCACTTTAAATAACAATGGTGATCACCTCACTGTTTCACAATAAAGGGTTCACAATATCAAAATGTTGTTACCATTCCTATTATTTTAAAGCATTTTTGTGCCAGGTTTTCGGCCCAACAATTCGTCCTGCAGTTGAAGAGGCTAACCAAGAGAACTGTCACGGAGCTTGGTATTTTATACCAAATGATTCAGTGATTAGAGTCGGGGGTTTTTGAGTCGGCAGGATAAAACCAGAAACCTGTGTCTATTAACAAATTTAAAATACGCATTGCTCAAAATAAATTTTAAATATTTAATGGTCACAAGCATATATTTTGACAACAAGCCAAAGCCTCAAATTAAGTCAGGGTTGTAATACATAAAATGCTGCCACTTACAGTTTGAGCAGGAGAGCAAGCTTTTTTCTACAAAATCTATGCACAAACCAAATGAGGGTAGAATGCTGAAATAATAATAAATTATAATAATAATCCTTGCATTTAATATAGCGCTTTTCACGTCTTCTAGACGTCTCAAAGCACTTCACAGAATATACTGTAAAGTGAATTGACTGTATATTCATGAGTGAAACTCCGGAACAGCAGTGTCCCACAAATACTTGTAGATTGAAGAGACCAATTTATTGTTTTTTTTCTTGAGGAATTATTATTAGGCGTGTGGAGTAAGGAAACTTGTCAAAGGTTTCGCCCCCTGGGAATGGCATTTGTTTGAATTGAAGTGTATTTTTGTTGCTGAAATCTCCACAAGAACAAAAGATTGGTTTAGATGAAGAAAACTGTTTGGCCCATTTGATCTTGTTATTCCAGAATACTTATCTTAGTGTCTTCCCATCACAGCATCAAGCTATTTTATAAATGAGTTTAGTGTCCTGGCCTCAACCACCCTTCCTGGCAAGCTGTTTCAGTCTCTAATTATCAGAGACATGTGTGATTTTCTTTCTCAAGAGATGTGGGTTATTTTGGGTCTAAAACCATGTGGACTTCCTTTTTATAATAGACAAGACTTGATTAGTTTATACAAAATTGTATGCAGCTTCACAAATTCTGGGAAATAAATGTACTCAGTGGAGTTATCCCTTCAAAGAAAAAAAATAAGAAAAATTTGGTCACTTAATCCACAACTGTTTGTGGGCACTGCAGTGTGCAATAGGCTGCAGCATTTCACCCACAAAATAAACAGCCACTACACATTGCAACATATTATGTGAAGTGCTTTGAGACGTCTCGAAGACCTGATAAGGCGCTATATAAAAAAATGCAAGCCTGATTATTACTGTTTGGCTTGAAATTGTCCTTTGAAGTTCGAAACCTATATCCTCGTGTTTTACTGCCTTAATTTATCCTCAAGTATTGTTAATAACAATAACCATAATCATATTACATTATTGTTCTGGATATACTTTTTTAGTCCTATTTTATAATTGTATATATCTCTATAAGATCCCCTCTGAGTCGTCTCCTTTGAAGACTGAAGAGTCCCAGCTTGTCTGGTAGTATAAAGGTAGTGGCAGCAAAGACCTAATCTGACCAGCCCACAGGGAGCACAGCACAATCTTGCCAGTCTTAGAATGGTATGTCAAAGACTCCATCTTTTGGTGTTATGTGAAAAAACAGTTCTAGAAAGGTGTAGAAATCCACCTTCATCTATTTATTCTTGGGGTTCTTTGCCTCTTATGAATTCTCATATTCTATTTTAATTGCCACCGTGAAACTATATCAAATATAACTCTCAGCATTGTGTAATCTATTCAAGAGTCCAATACTGCTTCCATGTCTGGAGAAGCTCTCTGAACACCTCTTGCCCTCTGGATAGGAATTGTGCTCAGTGGTTGATCCCTTTATTCAGATATCCAACCTTTCT